AGTGTTAGTATTCTTTGGATATTAAAGGTTCTTCATGAAACCAAAGATACAAATAAAGAGACATTATTTTAAAGAGTGTACATCCTTTTTTCTATTTATTATTATTAGGCTATATTTATTTATTGTAGTTTATTAACTATAATTTTACAATTACATTTCTGCTGTTTCATATATTAGCTGTAAAAATTATTTTTGGAGTATGATTTACAAGAAAATACGATTTCAGTCTTTCTACTACAAAATCCCATTCAGTTTTAGCTAGCCTACTTGCTGTTTCTTTGTAATTCATTGTAAGATCTAGCCATTTCTAAGTGCAAACCTTTTTGTAATTGGTGTTTTCATACACTGAGATGTCCAGTGAACTGAACAGTGGTGTAGAAGTTAGACAGCTTTTATTTTGTAGTCAAGACTTGTGTCTATATATAAACTGCCTTTCAAAAGTAACCCTACCCTACCAAACATTTGCTCATATGAAAAGTGTCAGCTAGTGAGAGACTTTCTCTTTAAAATGCAATTCAAAGCACAAACATCTTCCATTAAGCTATACGTAAAAGCCATCAATTAAGTCTAAACGTCAAAGGGGTTCTGTTAATACTGGTATTAAATAAGTATTATTACTCTGGAAAGCGGTTAACCCTCTCAAGTGGATTGGCGCTGGTGAAGCGCCTGGCTGTGAAAAGGCGGCGGCGGGAAAGACGCTTTTAGCGCCAAATGAGCAATGGATTGCACGCGGGCGAGACACCCCTCGGAACTGAAGAGGAGGTTAACTCGCTTACTTCACACAGACAGATGAAAGGATAAAATAGTTTCACTTTAAGAGGGAGGAGCAGTGCACAAGAGGCGGGAGTTAGGCCACGATTTATTAGGAGAAAAAGGACGGCGAGGGGATCCTTCAGCTCGCGCTAGTCACGCTGACGGGATGAGCGCTCGAGCGGGAGTTAATATTAGATGATAGGTTTTGGATATGTTACCTCAGTACTTTGCTTAGATGTGAAGGCTTATTCTTTTAAGTCGGGTGGTAGAAGTAATACATAATCTTTAACTGCTTTTCTTTCAAGTATCTCACCAGAAACACCTGCTTATCGAATCCATCCCAGAAAAAAAATGAAAGTGTTTTCGCGCTTTCTGAGGTGAAACAGTGAGTGTACTTAATATGTTTATATCTGATGTCATAAGAAAACGTTTAGGGTTTTGGATTTTAAGTCAAGCATATATACACAATGTAGGCTAACATTTTTTTTTAAACCTTTAGAGAAATATGCATTTAGACCAGGGATCCTCAAATCTGGCCGACGAGATCCACTTTCCTGCAGAGTTGAGCTCTAATCAAACACACCTGAGCAAGCTAATCAATATCTTCAGGATCATTAGAAAATCACAGGTAGGTGAGTTTAATCAGGGTTGGAGCTAAACTCTGCAGCGCATTGGCCCTCCAGGGCAAGATTCGAGGAACCCTGATTTAGACTATCTATAACCACAAAACCAGTAACTGATGGATGGGTTTTTTTCACCCAAAATATGTAGTGATGTCACTGCAGGTAGCCTAAACGTTTTATGATTTATATATAGCCTATATATTTATAAGTCTTCATGGCAATAACAAGTCAAATTGTGTTTTTGCTAAACTATTAGGCTGCAACAGATAGACGATAACGTTAGTAAAATCATATTTTATAAGTAGGATAGGCTATACATTAGTTCTCTTTTAGTTCAGCAAAGTCTTTTCAGCAAAAATGTGTTTAAACATGTACAGTACTGTTTAATAATAATAGCCTAACAATAAATTGTTATATATATATATATATAGTATTTAGCCTATGCTTTTCTCATTGTGTATGTATGGTAGATGAATAAAAAGTCACGCTGATTATAAAAGCATGGGGGGGGGATGCTTTGAGCATGCCTGAGTTCCTCATTCACTGAGACTGCCATCTTTTGCCCAAAGCTGCATGGCGAAGGACTTTTCAATGAAACGGCGTGAACTAAAACGCCATTTACTGAATTCGTTTTCTGTCTCATTTATTAAGCTACTTGTATCACTGAAGCGATTATTTTTGGTTACGACTTTTATTTAATTTAGCATTTTACTGTCTGTGTGTGTTTCAACGCACACTGCAGGCCTGTATATTACCGACACAGAGTCAGGCAAAAAGTGTGTGTGTGTGTGTGCGCGCGCTGGCATATGTCTGATTCTCGAGGACAAACACTAAAAATTAATTTAAGGTGATTCTGAATTTTCTTCAATTATCAAACCAAATGCAGTTTAACAGCGGGACAGCTGTCGCTGCATAGTTGTTTTGCCTTAATTTGATATTCCATTTCAGACAGTCGATTGATTGTATTGGTAACTATACGTTTCACTTGCTTAATCAATAAACTGCTAATTACACTACAAAGCACTTTCAGTGATGTTTTTGACAACGAAAAACACAACACCAAAACGCACTAACGGATGGAATTTAGTTTGATATTTGGAAGCATTGACTTGAGCTCGAATTAAACCTTTGCACCTGCACCACGTGTGGTTCAGAAATTAAAGGGAATAATTAAAATCATAAATAAATAAATAGAAACACGTGTGCTCTACCACTTATTTCAATGTACACCTTCGTTTGACCATTAAGTTGATCTTTTGTGCATTGTAATAAAAGGTAAACACAGGGGCCTGTTGGGCCCCACAACATCTTTGCATTACAGGCAAGCGTTTGATAATAAAGCAGTATCATATATTAAAAGTAGCAATCTAATCACATTGTGGATTGTTGGAACACAAGCCAGACAAAAATAACGTTTTGCTACATGCAGGATATTTTAAACCTAATGACTAAGGCGAACCAAAGGGTCTGCACATCTTAAATTGACCCCCGCTTGACTGCTTAGATTATTTAACGAAAAATTAAGAATCACAAAAAGTTATACAATTACACAATCTCCATACAGGGTCAAATCAAAGTAGCGGCCATTTATTCCCTCCCGGGCTTCAAAATATTGTAGATTGCAGTTTGACTGTATGGCTACATAACGAAACGAAATTCAACAGAATATGTGTTTGCAAGATGTCTAAAGTAAATGTCGATAATATTTGTTCTGCCACTGTTGTGTTGATAATCTTGTAAATGTGATTACCTTGCCTGTCGATGGCGCACTTCTAACGGTTAACGGTTATCGACGTCGAACCGTTAACTAAACTAGTTCCGGTGGAAGCACGGGTTTCCAAAATATATAGCTGAATACTAAAAGTACATCAGGCCTATACTAATACAGCCGTATCCTGGCGGACCGGGGGATTCAAACGAGAGGTAGTAAAAATTCAGTAGGCCATGTTTACTTTATTTGAAGCTTTTAGCCTACGCCTGGTTTCAGGCCTGAACTTGAGCGTCAACACAAAAATGGTTTATTTGGTATAAAACGATAAAACAATGTAAATTTATAGACTGAATGAACGAGAAAACCATATTTTGAATGTGTTTGAAGAATTTAAAAAAACTAGTCTTCATGGACAGATTAACAATATTGTAATTATTCCTTAATTCGCACTGCAAAATTACAGTGTCTGGGTTGATTACATTTTCAAATGTCTGATAGAAAGACATTTTTATTGCTACGATAAGTTTATTGCTACGATATTCAACACCTGAACGATAAACCCTTTGTTGTGTTTGTTCTCATATTTTTTTTAAAGAGGCTAGTCGGCCGGCCTTATCATGCACCGTTTTGTAAAATCTGTGCATTTAGTCTCGTCTTCAAACAGTAGGCCTACTTGTAAACAGGTAGCCTAGTTGTTACTTTAAGGCAAGCTAAAGCATTACAATTGTTACTTTGACGTTGTTATAAATGTTTAATATTGTTATAAATTAATAAATAAAGTTAATTATTAAAATTAATAAAATAAAGTTCTACATAAAGCCTCATAATTGTCAAGCTTAGTTTGAGAATTAATTCATAGTTGTATTGTATAAAATTAACTTGTAATAACACAGAATGCTAAATCGGCCTAGTATTCATTCTGTCGTGAGAAAAAAGACGACGGTGAAATTAAAATCTCTTTACAAACCTTGGTGTACTATTAATAAAACGAAGTATAAACGGTTATATTTGTGTTCAATCTCTTGCATCTTTATAATGTTGGCTAAGTCATATAAAATATTTAGAACAGTTGGACGCTTCTTAGACTCTAAACAAAGGGAAAAAACAGACCTATTTTTAGCTAATGTCGTTGAATTAATTGAATTAGGACAAAACACATTTTATGACATATTTTATCTGTTTATGCTAAAAAAAAAACTGCCCAAAAATAGTTATATCTATAGGCTAATCCTTTTAAATAACGTTTTGAAAATTAAGCGAAAATCAAAAGTGCGGATTACCTAAATAAGCCTAGTTTAAATCTTAGTAGGAAGTGTCTTTAATAAAAGAGAAATTGATTCATGGCCTCCCAACAGGTCACACTCCAGGAGAAACATGTTTACCCCTGTATTCCCCCTTTCACTCCACACACACACACACACACACACGCATTTCTTCTTCGACAGCATTAGCATCTGTATTAGTGTTACTATTATCATACGGGTTTCCGTTGCAAATCGAGGCTTCAGCCAAGAGAGATTTGTGCTCGACCTCCCGCCGTCATCCTATAGTTTATTCTAAGGAATATTCTTTAGGTGAACCCAGGACAAGGCGGTCTACGCAAATCAATCTGCAACATAAAAATAACACACAATTTCACTAGAGAACTGCCATTTTTTTCTCTGTATGATGTGATGACGCTAAATGTTTCGTTCCAAAACTATAAGATAATATTTAGAGGTACATTTAGTACTATTTTGGGGTATACTAGCAGTCTATAGATGAGAGGGAATTTAAAAACCTCTTGTCCTCAAATAAATAAGCTTAGCAGGTTGATATTTGATATTATGACAAATATAAAACATTAATGCATATTGTAGATATCTTTATTTAAATACTAACAAAACTAATTTGAATGAGCATTTTTGCTCTACATATAAAATCACAAATAAAACAATATTGTGACTATTTATTAATTCAGATAAAATAAAAATAAAAATACGGATTTACATAGTAAACATACAATTGATAGCTATGGATCTAACAGAAAATGAATGAAAATTATAACGGAGCCATTTGACATGGGGCAACCGGTCCACCACGTCTCAGGAGAATCCTTCTGGACACTGGCTAGACAGAGTGACCTTCCTAATGAGCCCTTGCTCCCCATCGTAACCCCGCCACGCGGGGGGGACAGTGAACTGGCCCTCTGCAGCCAGATTCCCGATGATGTTACGTTTTATTAGACTTAAAATTAGTCTTTTCACAGGATTGGTCGAAGTCCATGGCTAGGATTGATATCGGCCACCGATGCCATTGTTGATGGATCATCTGATTTTTGACCTTTTGAAGGATGGAGGGGCTTCTGTATGGGCGTGGTGTTGATTTAGAGTCAGTTAGCCTCCATGAAGTGTGGAGATAAAGACAACATTATCCTGGTCCTGAAGCTGGTACTCCAGTTCACCCTGTAAGGGATGCATACATAATAAAAGAAAATGACAATAACATCTTTGAAAAATGTCTACACTGAAGATACCAAAAAAAAAATGTATATATGAAATGTCAAATGTGGAGAATACTAGAAAGAATCTTTGCTTTAAATCAACACATGATTTGCATGTTTTGGCCGTCATTGACAGTTGTTGAGACATTTACTTTTTTCCCATTGATTGTGTTTCTTTAAATTACATCCTGATGCCAATACATGTTTCCTGAAAGAACAACCCAGCACAACCTTTATGTACATTAGATGAATGAAGAGAAGCTGACACTGGACCTAAAATGAGCATGTCATTAAAACAGAGAGTGGAAGGCATGATTGAGGAACTGTACACACACACACACTCTTACCATCAGTTCCCAGTCTGCGTCGTTGATCAATACGAGAATCCCGGGTCTACTGTGTGTAAAAAAAGAAGAGCTCATGTAAGTGATGTGAGCTACACTGAAAACATGACAGTAAAGCAGCTCTCTGATAATATAATGCAGCCTGTTTATACACAATGAAAATCGCCAGTGCTGCGGTTTTCTAAGACCCTTGCATCTGCAGTTCATTAAATGAATGAGCTTCTCTCGTACTAACATACACGTGCAAGATGAAGCACAATAAAGACTGTGCATAGAACATCCTCTCACAAAGATTAGCACAAAATGTATAATTACAGTGATCAATACAATAACACAATACAGCTTTATATACAATATAACACCATAATATCACTTTGGATTTTGCTTTAAGTGTCTATTAATACCGGTCTAATCAGATACTGCAAAAAAGTTTTTTTGTGTGCGTGTTAATAATACTCAAAAGAAATTTTAAATTAAAATGTTTTATATTTTGTTTTAGATTTTAAGGTGCTAATGTAGGTGATGGGGTGGCCTAAACAATCGATGGTATGGTTTATACGCCATTAAAGACTGCACTGTGTACCAGAGGCTTACTGCAGTTATCCACAGCTGATTTCATTTTTTTTTCTGTAACCTGTCCATGCCACAGTTACGTCAGGGCAAGAATAAAGGTAATTTATGACGAATCTTTCTAAAAAAAAAATAAAAAAAAACCCTGTTGGAGAATGCAAAAGCATAATTTTGGGGATAAAGTGATTGTATCAGAATTATAAAAAAATTAAATCCAACCACTGTTTAGTATGAGCTGAGAAAGCAAGACTGTAGATTTATACTAACCGTACTAATTCTGAGCACACCACACACATTTAAACATTTCCTTTACCTTTACTAATGCAATAATTATTTTATCACTGGCCAAATATTTACGCGTCGCACCGGGAAGCGTGGTGTGATTCTGCCTCCTTGACCTCACGGCGATTCTGCATCGAACGCGTAGCACTGCATTTATTACGAGTGTGTGTCTACAGCACGCGTGTATGTTTGCCCGAGCATCCTCCTGCATCGGTAACGTATTTACTGTGCGTCTGCGTGTGTGTACTTACACAGTGTCGCCCTGCATAAAGAGCTCTGGGCGCTCCTTCAGCATGTTCCCTCGAATCCACACAAGCAGCTGCTTCATGTCCCCTGTAAGAGTACCATCATAGAGGTCACAGGTCAGAGTTCAGTGAGCCAGCCCCACGGTCGATGTGACGCGAAGATTTATACTAACCGTACTAATTCTGAGCACACCACACACATTTAAACATTTCCTTTACCTTTACTAATGCAATAATTATTTTATCACTGGCCAAATATTTACGCGTCGCACCGGGAAGCGTGGTGTGATTCTGCCTCCTTGACCTCACGGCGATTCTGCATCGAACGCGTAGCACTGCATTTATTACGAGTGTGTGTCTACAGCACGCGTGTATGTTTGCCCGAGCATCCTCCTGCATCGGTAACGTATTTACTGTGCGTCTGCGTGTGTGTACTTACACAGTGTCGCCCTGCATAAAGAGCTCTGGGCGCTCCTTCAGCATGTTCCCTCGAATCCACACAAGCAGCTGCTTCATGTCCCCTGTAAGAGTACCATCATAGAGGTCACAGGTCAGAGTTCAGTGAGCCAGCCCCACGGTCGATGTGACGCGACAGAGCTTTGAATGCAAGGTGGGGGGGGGAGGTTTGGACTGTCATTTTTGAGTGCGCCATTGAAAACATAGCAGTGATGCCGTTTAAATTCAGATTCGTAAACGCCATCGACTGAGCCATATCAACCCAAAAGTACCGACCAGATAAACGTGACTGGAATAGGCAGGTTATAAGGGTAGTGCCGAAAAGCCGAATATCTATTGAGGGGGGGGGGGGGGGGGGGGGGCGGGGGAATGATTGATGGATTTAAACCCAGCGGCCCGACGAGAATTTAACCGAAATCAAGGGCCCCCCGTGAAAACAAAATGTGCTTAGGCAGACGACCGTTGTAAGCCTATGATAAAAAGTCTGCGTGAAATGTTCTAAATTTTTGCTTGGAATGTTTGCTTGATTGTTACACAATTTACTTTAGCCATGCAAATATTATCCAATCAAAGCTACTGGCTGTTATTCCACTAATTGAAGGACATTAAAGTTTGGCCTTCAAGACGTGTGATAGTTTTAGCATGTGATGATGGATAACTGTTTTATATCTGCACATGTGTGTAAGCAATGAAGTCCAGCTGTCCAACATGGGGGACAAGTCGGTATGTCCAACATTTACATTGTATCATCAGCATCCATTTCTGGAACGTACCAATTTTCTGCTTAGAGGGGGGAGGAGACAAAGACGGAGAAAGAGTGAGGAAGAGGGGGGAGAAAAAAGAAAGAAAGAGATGGAGATGTTTTCATTTGATCTGGGGAGGAGGGGAGGAGTATTGTTTGCGAGTTTGCTGTGGTTGACATTGTTAAGGCTGAGCACGCAAATTGCGCACTTAGCGTATTTTCGTATTTTGAACATCAGCTGTAAGAAAGGCCATTACACTTATTGGAAATGTGAAATCAGAGACGGCGCTTTGAAAAAAAATCAAAAATAGCTACCGCATTGCCAACCCTATCCGAACACATGCATGGACTCACCTGCACAAAAAAATCCATACTGCTGCTAATCCCTGTTCTGCAATATAATCCTGTGCAGATGTTTAATCTTTGTGTGAATAAACATCCACAACAACATTTATAACTTACCTGAATCGTTGAAATAAATAGGATGAAAATATTATCACAAGACTTTAATGCAATTTCATTTTATATAATCCTTGGACGTATTTGAAGGGGCATTACAGGATAGCTGGCAATGTCTGTGTAGGTGTTCTTATGTATGTCAGCACATACCTCGGCTGTAAATCCCATAAGGGAAGATTTTTTTTTAAAGGAGTTCCATTAACTGAGGCGTTTGGCAACATTTAACAATGAACACCGTCCTCTCGCACTCTACATGTGGTGGTAGATTTTACTGGCAGCAGGGATGGACATTTAGGTCTCTGACTAAAACCAGAGAACCTGTGGAGGGGGGCTGGGAAACCCTTGATGAATTTGAGGAAACATGATGACCAGTAGATGTAGTCACTTGCGGAGTTGTGCTACAGCTAACTGGCTATGCAAGCGTGTATAATTAGACCAGGACAAATTAGCAAGAGGACGAAAGAAGAGGGCAAGTGGGTGCAGGAGTGCGGGTCTATACAATACTCTCGACTGGGCAAGTTTCCACCAGAACTGAAGCTTTCAGAGATGTCAGCACCAATGCGTGCAAGTGTGTGCGCTTGTAAGCGTGTGGCGTGCTTCTCAGCGAGAGGCAGGGGTCGAGCAACAGAGGCTGTTTCAGGTTAATTGGATCGCTGTCAGCCTCTTCAGTTGTGTAACGATCGTTGTACCTTGCAGCTCGGCTAGCCCACAATCCTGAACCTATAAAGAAGAGTGATGCTTGCCTCAGTGCTATGCTACCGCAATGAATATTGACTAGCACCAAAAGCAGGGGCAAAAAACAGACGTGATCACTTTCAGCCATATCAGTCCTTTGATTGGGGGAAGTTGAAAAAAAAAAAACGAAGTGAGAGTCTCCTACTTTGCTTTCTCGTACATCGGTGGCCCCCCCCCCCCCCCCCCCCCCCCCCGTGAAAACAAAATGTGCTTAGGCAGACGACCGTTGTAAGCCTATGATAAAAAGTCTGCGTGAAATGTTCTAAATTTTTGCTTGGAATGTTTGCTTGATTGTTACACAATTTACTTTAGCCATGCAAATATTATCCAATCAAAGCTACTGGCTGTTATTCCACTAATTGAAGGACATTAAAGTTTGGCCTTCAAGACGTGTGATAGTTTTAGCATGTGATGATGGATAACTGTTTTATATCTGCACATGTGTGTAAGCAATGAAGTCCAGCTGTCCAACATGGGGGACAAGTCGGTATGTCCAACATTTACATTGTATCATCAGCATCCATTTCTGGAACGTACCAATTTTCTGCTTAGAGGGGGGAGGAGACAAAGACGGAGAAAGAGTGAGGAAGAGGGGGGAGAAAAAAGAAAGAAAGAGATGGAGATGTTTTCATTTGATCTGGGGAGGAGTTTGAATTTATTGTTTGCGAGTTTGCTGTGGTTGACATTGTTAAGGCTGAGCACGCAAATTGCGCACTTAGCGTATTTTGTATTCTTGAACATCAGCTGTAAGAAAGGCCATTACACTTATTGGAAATGTGAAATCAGAGACGGCGCTTTGAAAAAAAATCAAAAATAGCTACCGCATTGCCAACCCTATCCGAACACATGCATGGACTCACCTGCACAAAAAAATCCATACTGCTGCTAATCCCTGTTCTGCAATATAATCCTGTGCAGATGTTTAATCTTTGTGTGAATAAACATCCACAACAACATTTATAACTTACCTGAATCGTTGAAATAAATAGGATGAAAATATTATCACAAGACTTTAATGCAATTTCATTTTATATAATCCTTGGACGTATTTGAAGGGGCATTACAGGATAGCTGGCAATGTCTGTGTAGGTGTTCTTATGTATGTCAGCACATACCTCGGCTGTAAATCCCATAAGGGAAGATTTTTTTTTAAAGGAGTTCCATTAACTGAGGCGTTTGGCAACATTTAACAATGAACACCGTCCTCTCGCACTCTACATGTGGTGGTAGATTTTACTGGCAGCAGGGATGGACATTTAGGTCTCTGACTAAAACCAGAGAACCTGTGGAGGGGGGCTGGGAAACCCTTGATGAATTTGAGGAAACATGATGACCAGTAGATGTAGTCACTTGCGGAGTTGTGCTACAGCTAACTGGCTATGCAAGCGTGTATAATTAGACCAGGACAAATTAGCAAGAGGACGAAAGAAGAGGGCAAGTGGGTGCAGGAGTGCGGGTCTATACAATACTCTCGACTGGGCAAGTTTCCACCAGAACTGAAGCTTTCAGAGATGTCAGCACCAATGCGTGCAAGTGTGTGCGCTTGTAAGCGTGTGGCGTGCTTCTCAGCGAGAGGCAGGGGTCGAGCAACAGAGGCTGTTTCAGGTTAATTGGATCGCTGTCAGCCTCTTCAGTTGTGTAACGATCGTTGTACCTTGCAGCTCGGCTAGCCCACAATCCTGAACCTATAAAGAAGAGTGATGCTTGCCTCAGTGCTATGCTACCGCAATGAATATTGACTAGCACCAAAAGCAGGGGCAAAAAACAGACGTGATCACTTTCAGCCATATCAGTCCTTTGATTGGGGGAAGTTGAAAAAAAAAAAACGAAGTGAGAGTCTCCTACTTTGCTTTCTCGTACAAAGGGTGGTTTATGTGAGCCAGGGGCAAAGAGTGAGGGGTCAACAAGATGCCCCACGTCTCTTTCGCCCTCATTCGAGATAGAATGGAAGACGAAAAGAACTGGATAGGTCATGGTGAGGTAGGAGGAGACCGAGGGAAAAAACGAATGGGAGGGGGGAGTATGCGTCACTGCAGACAGGTGCATACTGGGATAAGGAATGCGTGGGAGGGTGGCGGTGACTGTGTAGCATAGTGGCTGGCTAACTCTCTTCGTTTCCTTTCACTTTGCATGACGATCAGCATTATCGCCACTATCTGTGGGTGGGAGGGAATGAAGTCATTCATCTTGCTTGGGATATGAGGGTTGGCGTTTCTGTGACGATCGTGTGTGTGTGTGTGTCCGGCACTGGGGGGCTCAGCACTACTCATCAATCACTGTGGACCAGTGGACAGAAAATTTAGGCGGGATTAATGTTGAGCGTCAGTGTCAGCCTTAGCAAACATAGCCAGTCATCCGTGACATACTCAAATCATGCCCACAAACATCCGTATGGACTATGGGCTTCAAAAGTGCTCCAAGGTCATCCCTCAGGCCCCTGCGAGGTCTCAGTGGCCACATTCCCTCCTGCCGTACACTTTTGTGGACAGGTTGTCGTGGATACTCTGGTGCCACAGAGCTTGACCCTTCTCTTGTTTGACAAGGCCACCAAAGTACAAGCGTATCCAAATGTTCCCAACCTCATAGCTGGGACAGGGATGCAAAAATACTAACAAACTTGGCCAAAAGTTCTATTTCTGTTCAATACACCTCAGACCCCAAGTGAAAAGACTAAGGCCAATGTACAGGCAGGTAAAGTGACTGGCTATAAATAAAGAGTAGTACTACTAGGCTACCACAAAAATCTCAACAAATCCTAATAGTTTCTGAACGTCTGTCCCAAACAGATTCTCCAACTAAACAGCTGGATCATCCTTGAGTTACCAAAGTTGATCTTGCAGAACTATGTCTAAAGGGATAGTTCACCCAAAAATGAAAATTCTGTCATTAATTACTTACCCTCATGCCGTTCCAAACACATAAGACCTTTGTTCAATCTTTGGAACACAAATTAAGATATTTTCGATATCTTATTTTTGAAATCCGAGAGCTTTCTGACATGGCATAAACAGCAATGCAACTGACACGTTCAACGCCCAGAAAGGTGATAAGGAGATCGTTAAAATAGTCCATGTGACATCAGTGGTTCAACCGTAATTTTATGAAGCTACGAGAATACTTTTTGTGTGCACAGAAAACAAAAATAACGACTTTATTCAACAATTTCTTCTTTTCTGTGTCAGTCTTCAACACGCATTCATGAGAGTACCATGATGTAGCTTAATAAAATTACGGCTGAACTACTGATGTCACATGGACTATTTTAATGATGTCCGTACTAGCTTTCTGGGCCTTAAACGTGGTAGTTGCATTGCTGTCTATTCAGAGTCAGAAAGCTCTTGGATTTCATCAAAAATATCTTAATTTCTATTCTGAAGATGAACGAAGGTCTTACAGGTTTGTAACGACATGAGGGTGAGTAATTATTGAAAGAATTTGGATTTTTGGGTTTACTATCCCGGAAGGAAATAAAAAAGTTTCTATAACCTAATAACTAAATATGTGTGGAAACTGACCCACATGGTAAACTCTAAGAAAAATGATACTGTCTCATAACTATTGACACAGCAATAAGTCAGCTGAAATTTGTGAATCTCCTCCCTGCTCTCAACATATCGCCATCATCTACTGATCAAAAATGTCATCTACAATTCTTCCAGGCAGGAACTTCTGAGAATGTGCACGGGATATAAGGTCTCGATTTCCTAATCCATCTTTTGCACTAATGACTCTCAAATGATTTGCCTTCCAATCCAGTGATGGCAGAGAACATGTTACCCACTCTGTGCTTAAATACAGAGGGCAATACAAGTGCTCCCCCACAACCAAACATCCCACCACTTTCACCCAAATGTCCCACCAGGAAGCTGTAGGAACGCAAGGTGTTTGTAGGAGTGAGGCATTTGTACTGTCAGGCAACCCAAAAAATGACTGCACACAAAAAGGACTTAGTGCTTTGTAACAATTGTCACTCCCTCCTTTACTGGCCCTCCATTCTCCATACCTTTACTGTGACCCCAGCACTAGGCATAAAAGATCCATCAACAGTATCACTGGCTGCATTTACAAGTGAATGGGGCCGAATAATGGAGCAGTTAGGGGAAGAATGGCTGGGCGCAGGGAGGCTCACAGATGTTGGTGGTTGAGGGGGAGGTGGGATGTATGGAGAAGGGGCTCAGCTCCATTGTTGCTGAGGGAGGGAGGGGTGGGTGGAGGGAGAAAAAAAAACCTGATTTGTGATGGCAAGCCGGCACTGGTTCGCCATTGGCCCGGCGTCAGGGTGAAAGCAGGACTGGCTAGAAGAAAAGGTGTCCAGGGAAGCGTGTGAACCAGGGCTCAGAGGTCAGGGGAGGAAAGGAGGCGAATGGGAAAAGGGCATCAGACAGAGGGAAGGCAGAAAAAAGATAGATGTGGAGAAAGAGCCACATAATTTGCTATGATTTGTGTGACTCTCTTCTATAGGAATAGCAGAGGAAAAAGACATCCTTGAATTCCAGCAGGGCATAAGGCCAATAAGTGAATCTTACTTCCAAATCTCTGGCATTGGGAGAGAAAGGCAGAGGATATTTGGAGCTAATTAAGTCATCAGTGCAAGGAATAGTAAAGCACTGGCATGGTATAGAAAAGGTGCTAAACAACTGGCACAACACTACAGTGTAATGATACATTGCTGTGGTTGCTGGGGTGTTCTGGGTGGTATCTAGTAGGGGTTGCAACGACTAATCGACTTCAATGCTCTGCCATGACGCTTTAAGCTTGACGTCGACTAGTCGCTGGTCCTAGAGGGGCAACAGGATAAGAAATCTTTGAAGGACTTCCACATTTATGCTCCGTTTCCAAACAGTTAAAATGACAAATAAATGCATACTCTGAAAGCACTCCACAAGACGTGTGATTATATTACTGGATGCTCGAAATTGAATGGGAGAATGCACGTTTTAAACAGCTTATTGTACAGGTAAGTTAATCGCCGTTCTAATCGAATGCGCTGCTGCACTTTAACGCACACACGTAGGCTACAGACAGTAGCGCGTACATCACGCGCACAGAATCATTCAGCGCGGAAATGTATTGTCAACACTGTTCTGTGATTTCTCAATAAAATAGCTTACAAACTGGAAAGTTCAAGCATATATTTCTTAACTAAATTCCACAGAGAGACGCTGCCAGGTAGAATTAATTCACACATGCAATCGCTCTCACTAATGCATTCATATGAATGTAATCTTTACTGTGCTACTTTATCTGTATCTGATTTAGAATGAGCAGAAATCTGTGAGAAATATAACGACCCAAAGACAAAAGAACTGATAAAAAAGCTGTTATAGGAGCAACAGCCATGTGGGCAGCGCTGTGTCATATGCCACAGCTGTGCACAAGTTGTTTGTGTCTCAGCTCCAGACTTATTTGTTCATTAATGACGTCATCAGCGACTAGTCGACTTCGACTAGACTTTCATCGCATAAAAGTCGACTTCAAAAAATCAGAAGTCGTTCAGCCCCTCGTATATAGAGCATTGCTTGGTGGTTACTTTCCTGTCCTCAACAAGTCAAATGATTGGAGGTATGTCACCAAGGGTGTGTTAGTAACATAGCTAACAAACACTTGTCATGTTTGGTGCGATTAAAACAAACTCTGGTGCGATTGCTCTGTTAGTGTGGTTCATTTGAGTAAGGGTGAACGCTGCCATCCGAACCCTGGTGCGAACCAAACAAAAAACATGGGTCTCGGTCCGCTTCCAAACGAACTCTGGTGTGGTCTGAATGAAATATGAACGCAACACGGACCAAATACTTCTAAACAAACCAAAAATGACAAGATGTGACATGATTTGACAACGTGGAACGAGCGGTGTATCCAAAACAAAATAAGCAGACAGCAAACGTGGAGCAATGAGGTAAAGTGCCTTTTATGAGCTCTTTGAGTTTGCAGGTGGTAAAAATTAAATCATATGTACACACAACAATGAGTGCTTTAAGTCGAACACACCTATTGTTTGGGGTGTTCGGTAAGTCCCGTCACAAAATATATGTCATTCAACCCGACCAATCAGGTTGTGGACGTATGACTATGCCTTTAGGTTCGGTATCTTTAGGTTCACTGTCAAAAATGCCAGTGTGAACGCTAAGCAGACCAGGACCAAATGTATCATTTTCTTTTTTGGTCCAGACCAAACAAACCAAGAGAACCGAAGTGTGAACGCACCCTAATACAAACAGTGCACGATACATTACAGACATCACACACAAAAAAAACATTTAGAACATCATTAAAGCATGTAAATGATGACAGAATTTTCATTTTTGGGTGAATTGTGCTTTTAATACTTAGTTAGGGGTTTGTTATAATTATGAGTAATAGTAACTCCATGAACACAACAGACAAGGTATATATTTTTTTAAATACTCACAGGGACCTGATTGGCCAGGGAGTGCCACATGATGATTCTTGACCCCATCAAAGAGAAGTTCAGCTCCTCCTCTACAACAGGAAAAAACACAGCATGCATAATGCTATTATTGCCTCTTACAACAAAGACCTTCAACAACATTAAATGTTCTCCTGTTTCTAAAATCATTTAGCAGTATCCTCCACGCAGCTTTAAATGACTTAACATCTAGTCTATGGCAAAACACTGTTTCTTGTCCTTAATATTTTGTCATTTAATGTCAAAGAGATACATTTTGTTTTGATTTTATGATTTTAAGCAAGACAGAATAACACTCTTGGAGAGCACCAGGTTGTATGTACGGCATCAACACTGTACTTTCTTCTTCAAAAATAAATAAATACATTTTTTACATAAACACATAAAAGAAGGTGTGAGAACCAACATATTTATCACAAAGAAGACAAAATCACAGTATACATTCAAGCAGTCAAGCAGCATTTCAAATGCTTATTTCTTTCAACTCAGTATGAGACAGAGATCTGTGTAAGAACCAGAGAAGGTGCATGTTAGTGGAAAAACAAACAGATAGGGACATGAAGTCAGAGTAGGACTCATGTAGCAGGTGCAGGCCCAATAAAGAGAGCTCACATCTCCTGGAGAATGCCCAGTTGTCCTCCAGATCGCCAGGCCTGGCGAGATGCCCGTACAGAGAGAAGCCAGCCTGTGTGCCAGCCTCAGAAAGGCCACTCACAAACACCAACTCTGTCCATAGACAGTCACATAGGACTCTGTTGCGACTTGAAAGCAGTGAGGACTTTGACCAAAAGCCAAATGCAAAATTTTTCTGCACCCAGTGAATTCTGGCCAAGATTTGTCTTTCTGTCACTCTGATGCCATCTACGTTCTCTGTCGCTTTATGCCTATGTTTCTAAATAGCATACCACCATACTACACTTATTATTTCTGTAATATACAATACATGTACTGTGCACAGTATGCAACTTTTCTGTATGCATGGTATACCCTGATGGGCTAGTACATTTGTCAAAAAGTGCGGTATACAACAGAAGGTACTATGTTGGATACTGTATTTCACAATACAATGCGCTCAACACATCTTTTTGACTCATTATGGGATTATGCAGCTGCACGTCTTAACATTTTAACACAACATTTGATAAAAAAAAAAAGCCATGATCATTTACAAGATTATAAGTGAACAGCATTTGCTGAACTGCACAATGAAATGACGTTGTGTGAAAGGTTTGTTGTTGGATAATCTGTACCGTTTCACATTCTGGCAATATTCAGGGCATACAGGAAAGTATGTATTTTGTTCCAAACACAGCCTAATTTTTCTCCTCGGAAAGTTGTCTAGAGGTTGTGCTGTGGTTAAGCGGTTAGTGCGCATGATCGGAGTTGTGATTCTTATATGATTCAAATCCAGCTGTCAAACTTTCCAAATTTGCCAAGGTTGTAAAGATTATGAGAGGCTATAAGGCCAGGAAATTATTTGATTTGTTTAATAAGTATTACTTTGTTTAAACCCCTACAAAGTTTAAGTATGTATTTTATTTGAATTATATCTTGTTTTGTTTCTCTGTTATAGTTTGTATTATTAATAAGTATGTCTCAGTCTGTAAGGACTTACAGTTGTGCTTAAGTTAGCCTATAATGTTCTGTTAATGTTGAAATGCAATAAATAAATAAATAAATAAAATCTCCCTCTTTCCACATCATTTTCTGTCCCCTCTCTACTATATTCTATTAAAATGGGGAGGAAAAAACCCCATAAAACTCAGTAGTATACATTTCCTCATAAACTGAAATGTCAAAACGTTCAGTTAGCAGCTATAATCCACCACTAATGGAAAAACAGCGATTTGATTATCATAAATTAGACCTGTATTATTCTGATACACAGTATAATTTAAGCACTGTTAAAAACTGGCATTTCAGTGTGGCATTGAAATATCTTCTCATTGATGTAACCATTGTTTCTTCTTAAAAACATCCGGAAACCTCATTTCTATTCAAACTAAAGCTTCTCCAACCGAGTTTACGTCAACATCGATTATTAATTTGTCCAGTTTAGGTGAGTGAAGCAGTTTATTATTTTAGTCCATTTCAAGTGCACGCGACGCCTGCCTGACTGACAGTGATTGAACGCGTGCTGCTTCAAGAAAATATGTAACGTGAATTTCATTTTTATTAGGTTACTTTTTCCATTTAAACCGGCTTTTCTTGTCACCACTGCCGTTAAACCGCTGAAAAAGTAACAGTCTTTATCAACCCAGTCCCTTAGATAAAGCTTCCGTCGAGTTGGTTTGAAGACTTTTCATTCAACTGGAACACAAGGCAAAGGCGATGAATCATAAACAAAGCGATAAATACAAACCCAAACTCCAGGTGCAGACCTAAGGGCGCTGCCATGTTGCTGAAAAAGCCGGAAATAATCACCTATCTTCACCGGAAATGACATCTTCCTCTGAGGAGCCCATTTGCTGTGAGGGCGTTTCTGTTCTGTGTGTTGACTCTTTGGTCAAACTTTGGTTCTTCTTTGGGTATTTGCTCCATTATAAGATGTTTTGATGGAAAGGTTATCTTATAAGAATAATGTAATTTATATTAAATTGCAGATAAATTAGGAAACATTTTGGGTGCTACAACTAAGAACTATTCTATTCTATTGAAACACACACACACACACACACACACACATATAAGATACAAAATTCTGAGTTCATAATTGAACCACACTGACATAAATTTGAACATAAGTTCATAAGTTTGTTTGTTTTTCATGATTGTTTTACTGTTTAAATTCTGCTCAAAAGCCTCTTTAATGGCAGGCTCCAAGGAGATATAGTGTAACAACACCTGCAAGTCCAGCTATTATATTGCTGATTATACTTATTATTTTTAATGTGATTTAAATGTTCCCATAATGTCTAAAATGTCTCCTCAGGAAAGGCGCAGTGCTGTCATGTATGCTGGAGTGATGTGGTGGTCCCCCACCCCCTCGGCCTCTGTCACACTGGTGACAGGTCTGTCCCGACTAGGAGCAGATTGAATTGCAAATCTCCTGCCTTCTGTTGGCGTCCGAGGCTGAACTGGCCCTTTGCAGCCAGCCATTCATGTGGTAATGTGAAGTCTGAGGGGTAAGGGGGGCCCTGGGGCCACAGAGAGTCACATGAGGGGACACTCCGGACTGACTTCCAAAAATACCATTATCACTATGAATTTGGACTATCACACTGGTATGTGCACACTAAAACTACATATATATATTTTTAACATATAGCCATGATTAAGCAAACGGATGGGATGCGTACTTATCTTGGCTTCTGTTATATTTTCTTTAAAAGCACAGCTGTTAACTTTGCAGGTTGTACAGGACAGACAGTAATATGAGTTCAGTGGTGTGTATGAGTGTGTGTGTGCGTGTGGTGGATGCGGAATGAGCTCTAGATTTAGATGACAAAGTGTTAAAGCACCAAGACATGTAATCCAGTCACTTTACATGTACTTAGCCGTTCAGGACATGACAGGCTGTTCCTGCGCTGTCACCAGCGGATCCGTCTGTAAATAAATCAGCTTCCCAAGAAAGAGAAAGAGTGAAATTAGTGCTAACATACATAATGACACCACATTTTATATGTAACCAAAATAAGCTGGGAAAAAAATGAGTTGCTTATGTTTAAAAGTGCATGTTACAGCTTTCCCCCAGGCATTTTTAGAGCAGCAATACCAACCCCAGAATCCTGTTGTGTTGAAAAACACTTCACCCACAAATAGCCCACAGGCACACAAAAAGCATTTTCACATGATTGACAAACAAATAGAAAGTCACATACTATAATACTGCAGTAGAATGCAGGTTCACCTTGAACGTCCATTAGTTTTTTTGTTTTAAATGTTCAAAATATTCCAGTTGCTTGCAGAGTGAGTGAGTGTGTGTGTGTGTGTGTGTGTGTGTGTGTGTGTGTGTGTGTGTATGTATGTATATATATATATATATTTCTTAAATAAAATATAAAATAATATATATTTTAAATGTAAACAAATATATACAACTTATTCAACTTTACATGCTTTTTAGTTTCCTAAATAAATGTTTTTAATAATAATCTTATTTAATGAAATATATACCATATACAACAATATTCCCTTGTAAAGGCATTTTAGTTACCTATACAATTTTTATAAAAGATGTATTTGTATTAATATTTAATAAGAAATACATTATTATATATCAAACTCAATATTCCCAGTTAAAGGTGATCAACATTTCTCAGTTACCAAAATAAATGATACTTTTAAGCACCAGTTTCAGTCATGTGCACATGCAATCTAATAAGAAATCTTATTAACATTTACAAAAACACCAAACAAATTTGCTCTTAATATATTATATAACATTATATCATATTCTAGCTTTGATACTTTTTAATAAAATGTGTTTGTATTAATATTTAATTTAATTTATTTTTTGAAAATTAGGGTTGCAAAGGGGTGGACAATTTCTGGAAACTTTCCAAAAATCCCTGGAATATTTCCTTTTGTGCAACCCTATTCAAAATATGAAACTCAACATTCCCAAGTAAGGGTGATCAACTTTTCTCAGTTACCAAAATAAATAATACATTTTAGCGCCAGTTTCAGTCATATGCACATGAAATCTAATAAGACACATTATTAATGTTTACAAAAACACATACAAATTTGCTCTTATTATATTATGTAATATTCCAGCTTTGATAAGGTGCATGCTGTTCTTTTCAGAGCAGATTGTGTATGTGTGTGCTATTGTGTGAATGATCGTTTGAGTTCGCCGACCACAGTGGCCTTCAATAAAAGATTTGAATCTGCATTTCCCCAATATTTTGAGCACAGTGGCGTGTGACGGGCAGCTCGGCCGTGTCTTTGTGTGCTGAGTGGGCATTCAGAGCCTGATGTTCCTGTGTCTCTGTCAGTGTGCCCGCTTTGCCAGCAGTGCCTGGTGGACCTTTCTCTGACTGACACAGCTGTGCGGGGGACATCACACACAAACGTTTGCGCATACACACACTGAGAGATTGCATCATGGCATCTCTGCAGCCCCCTCCATAGCCACCATCTTGTCTTGGTGAAGTCACTTTAGGCTGACGCACTCACAACTCAAAGGCAGCACGCATGCTCTGTCGCAGTGCATTCACAACTACACCCTCACACACACAGATAAAGCAAAGTGTGTATTTCATCTTTATACTTTGATGAACTTTGATGAATATATGCAAGTTTTATGAATGGAAACAGCATTTAAAGGGTCAGATTTGCCCAGTTCTGCAAGAATAGCTAAATTAAAGGAATTCCGCAAGAAAACCTTGAATAGATTATGTTTAGTAATAATAATACTAAACTTGTGTCTACAACAAACATATTAAAATGTGTGGTATTGAGTAGGGTCAAGTGCAGTGAGATGAGAATACTGACCTCACTACACTCCTTCTCACTGGAGCTCGAGCTCGACGCTGCTGTCACCTTGTGCTCATATTGTAGAGTTACACTGTTTAAATTCTGTTTGTGGTTCTAAACCAGGAAGTGTACAACTCTAATATATATTAATAAAAATTTTTTTTATTGTTTATTGAAAATATTATTGTTTAACATGTTAAATTCACTGGCCCACCGGTGAACCCACTTGTTTATAACAGTAATATTTTTGTCTTAACCTAAAGTAATCTTGTCAAACTATATATATATATCATTTGAAAGCTTAAAGACTCTGGTTTTCATATTTGGTGGCTGGATTATTATTATTTTTTTCCCCAATATATATTTAACAGAGCGACCTTAATTTTTGAATTTCAGGCAAAAGTACTCATCAGAGTCAGAAAGATCTGACCTCTATTTTGAAATAGTGATGCACATGTAAATTTATGAAAAAATGGTAACCCTCTGTTAATTTTCAAAGATAGTATCCATTCTATTTCTTAAGGAAAAAAAGGTCTAAAGTGTTTATATCAGTGAATATACCCCTTTGTACACGTTTGTTAGAATATGATGCCTACTTCATAAATATTGTAAAAA